GTAGTAGTGGAACCCAGAATATGTTCTTTACATGGAAAGTAAAAATTACAGTTAGAATTAAAGTTCCCTTGACCCTCATTCCCAACCCTGGCTCCCTTATTTTCCCAGATCTACCCATATTCTTGTGTTTAGGTAGGTGGCCCTCTTTTTACATTTTTAATGCGTGTGTATGTACACACGCACATTCACTACAATCTCTGGGGGGGGGAGAGAGAGAGAGGGAGAGAGAAAATATATTAATTTTGTCTTTTTTGAAAATTGTGACTTGAGTGAAAGTTTGTGTTAGTTTTCCATTCAACTATTCACACACAGTCTGTTTTATGACATTAATTACACCACCTACAATGAAATCTGTTGGCTTAATGACAAGAAGCTGTGCTGCCGTCCCAAAGGTACGCGGTTGAGATCACCAGACACTCAGCAGGAGAAGGACTGACAATCTCCTCCTGTGCGATTAACCACCTCTGAAAACCCACCAGAGGGTCAGCTGTGGGTCGATTCCGATTCGATGGTACACAACAACAACAGCAACACTGAGCTCACGCTTTCATTATTTCCTTCCTATAATTCTCTTCTCCATTAATCCTGCCATCTTACTCCTGCCTTCCTTCTTGGCTTTATTTTCAAGCAAATGCTACTTTTTTTTACTCTTGTATGGTTGATTGTTTAAGGAATGCGCACCTTGCTGGTATTTTTGGTGCTTTTATACACTTGCCTACTGTTTGGTTTAAAGTTTGAGCCATGGAGGTGTGTTTTGTTTGAGGATGAAAGAGTGACTAAGGTCTAGAGTCTCAGGGTTTTTACCAATCTCTATTGGACCTATGAACTTGGAGAAATGGTAAAAGTTATACAAGTGTTCAGGTCTTTCGTTCATAGGGTCACTATGAGTCATCTATAACTCGATGGCAATTAACAACAACGACTCTTTGGAAACTACCAGTTGGAAAGGGATATCATGCTTGGAAAGAGAGAGGGTCAGCAAAGAAGAGGAAGATCCCCCCCCCAATGAGATGGACTGACATGGTGGCTTCAGCAACAGGCTCTAGTGTATTTGAGATGATGTGGATGGCACAGGACACGTCGGGGTTCAGGTCAGCTGTTCATAGGGTTGCTATGAGTAGTATTTGACTTGATGGCACTTAATAACAATCAGATAAGCTTTTAATTTTTTTTTACAGTTTTCCCACATTTCTTCACACATATCCAGGAACTTCTATGTTTTTTTCCTTTTCGTTGTTGTTGTTGTGTACCATTGAGTTGGATCTTACTGGCACAGGAGGAGATTGCCTCTCCTTCCCCAGCAGAGCATCTGGTGGATTTGAACCACACACCCTCTAGGATTGAAATGAAACTTCTTGGTGGTGGTATTCACTTTATAAACCTGTTGATCCTCATTGTTGAAGAATGCTTGGAGTCTACTTGGGGCTGGCTCATAACTGATCCTTCAGTAGGTTTCCATAGACTGTAAATCCCAAAGGAAGGAATTACCCATCTTTCTTCTGAACAGCTGATGGTTTTGAACAATGTACTTTTGGGTTGGCAGTGCAACTCCTTACTATTAGGCCACTAGAACTCTCTATGGATCCTCAGGAATGAGTTTAGTTCCAGTCTTGAAGGATATCTAATGGCCACAGTCTTGTGCATCCCACCAACAATTCTGGTCTTTTTTTATGTTTTTGAGTTTTGTTGTACATTCCTCCTTCTCTTCAGCTGTCCAAAACAGACAAAGGTTGTGATCCTGGTCAGAATGGCTGGAAGTGGTAGCTATGCACCTTCTGGTTCCTCTGGTTCTTAGGGTAGTGGAGGCTGTAGCTGGCATGACCCACTGTCCTTGGATAAATTGCTTTTTGGAGGCTTTCTGTTTCTTCACTCTCCTTTTCTCTGATCAAGGAGAGACCAATACTTTCAATCTTGGATGGCAGCTAGTAAGCTTTTAAGACCCAAGTGGTTTCTACACATCAGCATAGAATATAAAACACTGTTTGTGTGGACCATGTCACGACAATTTACCTACATGTCCCTTGAGACTTGTGGTCCTAAATGCCCAGGTCCAGTGACTCATTCCTTCAAGGTATTTGATTATGGCCATGTAGTGTTTATAAGTTTGTTTTGTATATTCTCTTCAATATCCTTGGATAGTGTAGCACATTAAAGTACATATAGAAATGTCTTCTGCCAAACCTATATATACTTGTGGGGATAAACTCTCATTCACCTTCCTACATCTATTTCAGGCCTACCAATGCATCTGATTTGTATTTTGTCAATTATTACTATCATTGTCAGACTGTGTATGTGATAGTATCTTACCAGGGACGCGTTGGCTTACTTGTGATTCATTTGAGTCAATCCTTACAAGTTACAAGTGATCCTTGTAACTTTTACCACATAGCTGGGTTGTTGTTATGTGCTGTTGAGTTGACTATGACTCAAAGTGACCCTCTGAACAATAGATCTGAAACCTGCACCATCCTCTGCCATCTTCTGTTTCTGATGCACTTGAACCCGCTGTTACAATCACTGCGTCAATTCACCTTGTTGAGGGTCTTCTCTTATGCTGATATAACTGGGTAGGACTAAATAAATATGAGGTGTTTGTGGCTCAATAAGCAGATCAGATAGCTTGTGAATAATGTAAATAAGATAGATACATGGCACATATTAGATGGGGCAATGCAAATAAAGAGTGTAGAATGCTAACATGGGGATTGGTTAGTTTTGCCATCCCACCAGACTTAGGCTGAGACACAGCAAAGATGGAAAACAGGATCTTGTTACCATTAAGAAAGATAATCCAGAAAGGGCAGTATGTCTTTTGGACCAGAGATTCCTGCACAAACTAGAGATGGTGATCTTAACTCCTGAGAGAGACTGGCCAGTTGACAAGATGGCAGGAGATGAACTGACTGCAGCAACGACAGCAGCGGCACAAGAGGTGGCCAAAACCAGACACGAGTGTGAGACAGAGCTGGAGGTTCCCAGTCCACAGAACAAAAAAGCTGAGTATTTGCTGGTGGAGTGGGTACTTCAGACACTGATTGAGGAGGTCTACTGACTCATAGGGAGCAAACGGCCTCTGGGCCTAGACTTCCAAGTAAAATGGACCTTGGGCACATGCTTGACAAAGCTAAAAGAGCTTTGTGACACTTGACAGCGCAGGGCAGAGGCCAAGACCTTGAGATCAAGGGCCAGAAATAGAGACTTGCTTCAGCAGTGCTAACGTTAGCTTTATAATATTTACCTAACTAAGGCAGAGTTCAGGTCTTGGTCTTAAAAAAGATCAAGAATCAAAGAGAGGTCAGCCTGTCAACATGGCTACAAAGAGGCTGTCCTGACTGAAGACCCGCATCCTGAATGTTCTTGAACTGGAATTGTAATCCAGTTCCCTAACAAACACCATAATCGTGAATATTGCCTGTGTGTTCTGTGTGGCCATTGTAGTGGAGTATCAAAACAGCAGAAAAGCAGTGAGTGCTTTAGGAAGGAACAGTTGGTGCTAGAATTGGTTAGGAGAAGGGTCTGGAATGCTTTTGTGCTGTTGATGAAGATTCTTTCCCCTTGTGAACATAGGGAAGTCAGAAGCTCTCTCCCTTACATCCTTGCTGTTTCTCTGCATTACCTTTGTCTTTTACTCTTGCGAACCTCCCAGTGATTTCCTTTGCCGCAGGTCATGTGCTCCCCTCTTACTTGGTGTATATTGCCTTTTCTTTCACTCAAGTTAATATAGGTCTCATCTTGGTGGAATCTACTATCATACTATCAGCTTTGAGGAAGAAAGTGAGCATTTTCCTCCCTTATGACCCACAGAAAGTTGCTGAGTTGGAACTGACTTGATGGCAGTGAGGTTTGAGACTTATGCTAGTGATTCCTGGAACGAAACTTTTATATAGTGGCTGATATGCCATGGACTGCTATGAGAATGAACAGGTTCATCTTGGACAGGGTTAAACCAGGCTGCTCCTTGGAGGCAAGGATTCTGAAGCTTCATCTGACATACTTTGGACATGTTACAAGGAGGGACCAGTTCTTGGAGAGGGATGTCATGCTTGGGAGGGTAGAGGGACAGCACAAGAGAGGAAGAACCTTGATGAGATGGATTGATTCACTGACTGGGGTAATCGGGATGGGTGTGTCAGAGACAATGAGATGGGCACAGGATAGAGCAGAGTTTAGGGCTGTTGTACCCAGGGTCGTTATGAGTTGCAGGTGACTTGATGGCACATAACAATTTACTGGTTAAAAAATGTATGGTATCTGCTTGGTTATTTATTTTTTTATTGGTTTTTATTCAGCCCCTTATCTACATTTCATTTTATAACAATAACTGCAATTGTATCATGCCATTAAACATCCTAGCGAAGCCTGGCTGTCCTTTCCCTTCATTTTACCTATCCACTATCCACTAATCTTTGCTCCTTCTCTATCCCCTCTGCCTGGTTACTTCCCTTGGTCATATGTTCTCTGAGATTCTTCTTCACTTTGCAGATATTAAAATGACTTCTGACTTCAAGGTCCTAAGCCCAGAATCTTGCTAATGACAGGACAGAGACAGGGAAGAGCGAGATTTTCCTTCCCAGGTGAGACTCAGACTAAAGAGATGGTAAGAACAATAGTTGGACTCCTGAATCCATGATCAAGTGGATCCTTAGCCAGTGTTGCCAGGTCTTGGGGGAGGGGATTAGCAGCCCAGGAGCTGCTCCCTGAGGGCCAGCAGGCTTGGGGGTTGGACAACCAGTTCCTCACCCTTCTGGACATCTGGACTTGTCTTAGCTTTGTTTCTGTGTCCTTCCTTCCCACAGCTGAAGTCCGGATCATGGACAAAGTAGAAGAGGGGTGAGGTGGGGCGGTACAAAGGTGAAGGTATGCTCGGGGCCCCACACCCAGTAGGAGAGATAACTGAGACTTTCCACTTTAGTTCACACTCAGGCTGCAGTGAATACCTGTGGCTGTCTCACTGCTGCTGCTCCCGTGGCCGGCTGGACTGACTGCCCACCATGCGTATGCAGCTCCTTGGGCTCCTTGGCCTTCTCTGGCTGCTTAGGGCCTCTCCGGGGGCCACAGGTACGGGGAAGGGAGAAGCTGGGGAGACTACTGACAAGGATGGCAAGATGTGGGAAGAGTGGCTTTGAAACTATGGGAGGCTGAGGAGAAGCCTCACTCTCTGTGTATATGTGTGTAGGTAGAACAAGAGTGGAGAGGGATAGGAGTCCCAGTGTGCTGTTTGACCTAGAGTGTGGGCACCACTTCTTCTGAGAAAAGATTTCAGTTCTGACTCAGTTTCCTGAGCCTCTTCTCCCTCTGCCCTCTTCACTCCCACTCTCCTTTTCAGCTCCTACGTTCTCCCCACACTCGTTTATACCCAGGCCTTCACCTCTTCAGCGGCACCTCTACCTTTCCCAGAGTCTGACTCTGGTCTCTCTCCTCTCACTCAGTTGCCTTTGATTCTCGGTTCCTACATTCTTGCTTTGCCCCCAACTTATCTCAGGCTCAACCTTTCAGGACACGACAAATGTCAGAGCTATTGGATCCTAAGTCAACTTTGCTCCCTCTTAGTTTCCCAGTGTCCTCTCTTAATCACTGATCCAAGAGTTCCCCAACCTAGAGGTCCACAGTTCACGGCTTTGTGTCCTGCAGGGCTCAGGAACCCTCATAATCCTCTACTTTGTCCTCCCTGACACCCCGAGCTGAGCTAAGACTGGGCTTTCAAAGAAAGCCAATACAGCGTCCCAGGGAAGGAGGAAGAGGTCAGGTGTGCTTCTTGCTTGCAATTACTCTGGTAACATGAGGGTTATTGGGCACTTACTCCCAACATTGCATAACTGATGCTAAGTTTCAAAATTAGGAAAAAAAGAGGTTGATGAGATCCAGACAGTGAGGGGACTTCATGCTTGTAAACAGATTGCTCAAGTGACTGAAATAGAATAGATGATATAAAAATCTGTCTATCTGGGGACAAGGCTGAGTAAGAAACGGAGAACAACTTTTTCCTCTCCTGTTGCAGAAGATTCCTAGGATGGGGATCTCCAGAGCTCAAAGCTCCCAGTTCCAAACTGCCAGACAGTAGTAATAAGCCCATTTGGGCAATGGGGTTGGGAGCTCTGGTGCTGTCGTCTGTAGGCAGCTGTGCTGCTGACCCAAAGACAGCGCCTCTCTGCGGTGTGAACCCACTTGTGATGAGTAAGACAATCTTTTCCCCATGAGATTGACGGCCTTAAAAAAACCCTCCAGAGGATCTGCCTTGATTCTCTTCTGCCTTGATGGCAATGAAGTTTGTCTTCCCCCTCCTTAAATTCTAGTCTTTTTGTTAGGAAAAAAGTCAATTACATGGAAGCAGGGGTGGCATCCACTTCCTAAACAATATGCCTCTGGAAACTCTATGAACTTAGAGAAAAGGCTTCAGGCCTTTTGTTTATAGGGTCACTGTGAGTCGTGCTCAACTTGATGGCAATCAACAACATAAAAATAGCTGCAATTCATATACATAAGATGTGAAATCTGATGGTGAAAAGAAATATGATTATTTAAAATTTTTTTTCTCATTGTTGTACATTTTCTCTCTTTCCTTCCCTTCCCCTCACCCACCCCACAATGCACCCCTTGTTTTCCAGACTATTCTTGTACATATACTGCATAATTATATATTCCTTTCAGTTTCTCCCTCATCTGTTCTAATGCAGTGCTGAGCATTTACACTCTTCCCCCATTCCCTCTCCAACCCCCTTCACCTTTGTCCTATTTTATAACAGCAGTGTCATGCAGTATTTATCCTTTTATGACAGATATTTAATTTAGCATAATGTCCACAAGGCTCCGCCATGTTGTGTAATGTTCTACTATTTCATTGTTTTTCAAAGCTGTGTAGTATTCCATTGTGTGTATTTACCATAGTTTTTCTAGCCATTAATTTACTGATGGGCACTTGGGCTGATCTATCTCTTTGTTATTGCGAATAATACAGAAATGGATGTGCATATAGATGTTTGATTTGTGGCTCTAGTTCCTTTAGGGTATATTCCCAGCACAGTGAAACTGCTGGGCCAAATGGTATTTCTATTTTCAACTTTCTGAGAAGGCACCAGATCATGTTCCATAGTGCTAGTATCATTTTACATTCCTACCAGAAGTGAATAAGATTTCCAATCTCCACAACCTCATCAGCATTTGTTGTTTGCTACCCTGTTGAACTTGGCTATTGTTTCTGGGGTGAGACGATATTTCACAGTTGTGATTTCCATCTCTCTGATACCTAGGGATTTCTAACATCTCTTCATGTGTTTGTTTGCCATGTGAATGTCTTCTTTGGTGAAGTGTTTATTCCTGTCTATGCCCATTTTGTGATTGAATTGTTTAATTTTTTCTTGTTGAAGTGCTGGAGTATTCTATAAATTTAATCATTTATGATTGCCTAATATTTTCCTCCGTCGGTGGATTTCCTTCTTAACGTACTGGAAAAGTTTATTGATGTGCATAGGGATTTGAGTCTTAGAAGGTCCCATTCATCTATGTTATCTACTCCTGGTTGTAGCTTTTTCATTGTGCTTGGAAGATTGTTCATGCTGTGGAGTGGGGATTCTAGAGTTCCTCCCAGCTTTTTGGGATGGATTTTATAATCTTTGGTTTTACTTCTAGGTCCCTGATCCATCTCAACTTGGTTTTTGTATAAGATGTGAGGTGTGGGTCTTGCTTAAGTTTTCTGCAGGATTGGGTTGTTTTTTTTTTTTTAAATTTTCTACTAGTTTATTTATGAAATTCAAATACATTGTTTTCAAGATTAAATTTTTCAATTTCCCTCACTCACCCATCAAATTGTACAACCCCATGATTAATCCTCCCTCCCCATGCACATCCTCATCCCTCTGCTTCCAACCTCTCCCACACCTCTTGGATCCTTATACTCATCCTACAATAATGGTTTTACACAATATTTATCCTTGTGGGACTGAGTTAGTTCACTCAGCATAATGCTCTCCAGTCCCTCCCGAGTTAGGTAATAATTTAAAAAAACATTGCTCCTGCGTGCTGGATAGCAGCCCATTGTGTGAATGTATCATAATTTCTCAAGCCATTCATTTGTGGTTGGACATTTGGGCTGTTTCCACATTCTTGTGATGGTGAATAATGCTGCTATGAACACTGGTGTACAAATCTCCATTTGTACCTTAATTTTTATTTTCTCAGGGTATATTCCAAGTAGTGGAATAGCTAGGTCATATGGAATTTCTATTTTCAGCTTTTTGAGGATGCACCAAACTGCCTTCCAGAATGGTTGCACCATTTTACAATCCCACCAACAAGGTATAAGAGTTTTTTGCATTTTGTTTTCTCTCTCTCTCTTTTTTTTTTTTAGTTGATTGTAAATACTGACATTCATGCCTAAATTTCAGGATCTCCAAGACTTATGCTTGTCTCTGGGGATATTTCCTTTTATTTTTTTAAACATTATAGTTATTTGAGTGTAATTTTATAAAATATGTTGGTTCTCATGCAATCATTCAGACATATTTGCTTTAGAGTATTAATTATAATTGATTAATATAATTAATTACATATTCTCACCAATTGTAGCCACTTTCTGATTTAATTATTTTTATTCTCTTCTCCCTCCCTTCTCATCCCTGCTAACCCTCCAAGATTGACTTTATCTGTGTATAAGCCTTTCCTTAGTTTCTTGTATTAGCAGTCTTATACCATAATTGTCTTTTTGTGACTGCCTTAGGTTACTCAGCATGATCTGTTCTAGATGCATTCATTTTGTGCAGTATTCCCAAACTGTTAATTGTTTTTTAGTGATGCATATTACTCCATTGTGTGAATGTACCAGAGTTTCTTTAGCCATTTGTCTGTTGATGAACATTTGTGTTGTTTCCAACTCATTGCTATTGTAAATAATGTTGTAGCAACATTGGTGTGAGGATGTCAGTTTGTGTTGCAGCTCTTATTTCTCTGGGACAAATACCTGGATTAAATATATTTTCTAAGGAAGCACTAGTCTGCTTTCTGAAGTGGTTGCACCATTACACATTTCCCACAGTCTATGAGAGCTACAATCTTCCTAAGCCCTCATCAGTATTTGTTGCTTACTGTCTTAGTGAACATTGATATATTTGCTGGAGTGAGATGTTATCTCATTGTTGTTTGGAATTGCAACTTTCTAATAGCTGTTGCTACTGTTATTAGGTGCCAATGAATGGAGTATGAGTCAGCTCAGAGAGTGATCTTGAATATTTCTTCGTCTATTTGTTAGCCACCTGAAGAACGTTGTTGGTAAAGTGTCTATTGTCTTCTGCCCATTTTGTAATTGGGTTGTTTTTCTTTTTCTTGTTGAGGAGTTAAGTATTCTATCAGTTTTAGTGATGTGTTCCTTGTTAGATGTTGTTAGGTGCTGTCAAGTAGCCTGGACTCATAGCACCCTTATGTACAACAGTCTTATACCCTGCCCTATCCTGTGCCAATCTTACTGTCTCTGACACACCTACCCCAATTACCCCAGTACTGAATCAAACCACCTCACAGAGGGTCTTCCTCTCCTGTGCTGTCCCTCCATCCTCCAAAGCATGACACCCTTCTCCAAGGACTGGTCCCTCCTTGCAACAAGTTCAGAGTATGTCAGATGAAGCTTCAGAATCTTTGCCTCCGGGGAGCTCTGGTGGCCTAGTGGCAAGGAGCTGCAACTACAATACCAGAGGCGCATGGTTCGAATCCACCAGATGCTCTGCCGGGGAAGGAGGGACAATCTCCTCCTGTACCAGTCAGATCTGATTTGACGGTACACTCACACAAAAATAAAAAAAAAAAATAAAAAAAAAGAATTTTTGCCTCCAATGAACAGTCTGGTTATCGCTCTCCAGGATGAAGTTGTTTGTTTTCCTAGCAGTCCATGCTATATTCAATACGCTTCTCCAGCACCACAACACAAAGGCATCACTTCTCCTTCTATCCTCTCTAGTCATTGTTCAACTCTTCCATGCATAGTAAGTGATTGCAAAGACCATGGCCTGTATCAGGCACACCTTACTCTCCAGAGTGACACCACTGCTCTTCAGTAATTTGGGGAGGTCCCTAACAGCAGACTTTCCCATTGCAATATGTCTTTTAATTTAGATGTGTCACGTCTTTTAATGTTAGATGTGTCATTGTAAAATACATGAGTCGCAAGCGACTCGACGGCACATAACAACAACAACAACAACAACAACAATTTATAGGTTCATTTTTCACTCTTTTGAACAAGTATTTTTCTGCACATAAAGATTTAATTTTAGGATGAACCATTCAAATCGCTCATCCTCTGTTGATTATATATCAGTGACTGTTGACAGTCTGTTTAAGCTACAGATTAGGGCTCCTAAGTATAGCCCAATTTTCTCATCTGATGATCTTTATTGTTTTACATTTTATGCCAAGATCCTTGATCTGCCTTGAGCTAGATTTTAAATAAAGTAGGAGACATGGATCTTGTTTTAGATTTTTGCAAACTGTTTTCCAGTTTGGCTAGCACTGTTGGTTAAAGAGGCTGTCTTTCCTGTATTTAATGATTTCATTTCTTTGCTAAAGATCAGTTATCTATCAGATGATAAATCAGATGGATTTATTTCTGTGTTCTCAATTCTATTCCACTGGTCTATGTACCTGGAATTGTACCAATATCAAGCTGTTTTTATTACTGTGACTATGTAGTTGGCTTTGAGATCAGGAAGTATGAAGCCACTTATTTTGTTTTTCTTCTTTAGTATCATTTTGCTTATCTGCACTCACTTTCCATATGAACTTGGTCATTACTTTTTCCATTTCTTTGGAAAATGATGATGGGATCAGGATTAATTGTACTTGTAGATTTTTTTGGTGTAATATTGCCTTTTCACAGTGTTAAATATTACTTATATACATACATGAATATGGTAAATTTTCTATTGCTATAGGTTTCTTTGAGTTTCTTGTAGTAATGTTTTATAGTTTTCTTTGTATAGGTCTTTTGTAACTCTGGTAAATTCATTTTGAAATATTCCATCCTTCTGGGGGCTATTGTATAAGGCATTGTTGTCCTTATTTTCTTTCCAGAGTTCTTTTTGCTGCAATAGAGGAGTATGATTGATTTTTGTATATTGTTCTTACATCCTGCCACTTTGCTGAAGTGACCAATTAGACCCAGTAATTTTCATGTTGAGTCTTTGGAATTTTCTATGTAGAAGATTATTTCATCTACAGATAGAAACAGTTTTACTTCCTCTTTGTCAATATAGGTTCCTTTTACTTCCACTTCTTGCCTCATTAATCTGGTTAAGATTTTCAATGCAATATTGAATAGGTATGGTGAAGCTATCCACTTTTAGGTTTTTTTCCTTCTCTGTCCTATCAGCCTTTCTGCATGATTCTTCCTCTATGACTGTCAATCTATATAGAGAATCTCTGCCCTGTTTCCGTCCCATCCATTGGTATCTCTGAACTTTTCCTCACTCTCTAATTCCTTAATCTGGGCGTGTCTCTCAATTTTGCTTCTCTAATGGTCTTTCACACTCGTTCCTGGTCTCTCCCCCTCAGACCCTTGGTACTCAACACTCAACTGTAGTCTTCACTATTCACCTCCTGAGCTGGCTTTGGCCAGGTTCTCTCTTTGAAGAGTCAGCAAAGATATCTGTGCATTACCAAAAGAGCAGGTGAAAGAAGAGTTAGAGAGAAAGAGGGCTGAGGGAACTTCAGGTAGACAAAAAGAGTCGAGTGAGAGAAGGGCATGAGGTGTGTTGCAGAGGAAGGAACAGGGATGTTAGGGAAGGTGAGAGTCTCAGTTGACCCTCTGTACTAGTTTTGCCATTCTAGGACAGAGAGCTCACCAGACAAGTCTGAGAAAAAACTGAGGATGATTCTCTCCTATTCTCTTGTAGAAGACGCTCAGGATGGGGATTTTAAGAACTCAAAACTCCCAGTTCCACACTGCCCCAGATAATAGAATATGCTATAGTACATTTCGGAAATTGGGTAGTGACAAACCTACAAATGTGGTATATGGTGAGAAATGACATAATATTGCCAATAAACTAATCTGTTCTATTGCCAATACAGGAACTTTATCTATGGCCACATCAACTTCTAATGAAGTCTTGCTGAGTGCAGAGACAGCATCCAATGGCTTTAGAAATATTCCATGGTTTAAAGACAAAATTGGGTTCCCACACAGTCCCACACAAAGTGTTGTTCCTGTGCCTGGAAGTAGCACTAATAGGACTTATGAAGGATTACTGAATTCTCCCACCAATTCCACTGCATCAGTTCCTTTGTCAAAATTTGTCATGAGAGTAGAAACCAGTCCACCTTCCACCATCCTCTATGTAAGCACCACTGAATGTATTATGCCAACAACTTTCTTAATCACCACAACATATCCTACAACCACCTGCGTAACAACGACACAAGTGACTTTCACCAGCTCTTATACTACAACGAGAGAAACGGAGAAACCATCTACAACAATTACCAGTACTTATCCCACTACAGTAGAAGCAACATCAACTACATCTTATTTTACAACTTCTCCTAGCACCGTGGAAACAGTCTCCACTACAGTTACACCGTCTTCCACCAGCTCAAGCACAGGAACCACATTAAGTAGTACCACACCATTTGTCACAACTTTCACTATGAGCACTACACAAGCAACGTCAGAATCAACCATGACTTCTCCCATTACAACCACAATTCCTTCGACATCTACATCAAGAACCACTTTTAGTACAACAATACAAACCTCTTCAGTCACTACTACTGTAACACCAACTACCAGCAACCCATCTACAGAAAGCACATTTACAACATTACTTACCACCTCACCTACAACAGAGGTGACAAGAACCAGTACTCCAAAACTCACAACAACAGAAATGACCACAACACCTATACTGACAAGCACTACGGCCGTCACGTCCACACACACCACGCCCACAGAGAGCACATCCACTTTGACAAGTATGTCCTCTCCTACAACCTCCCCTACGACGCTGGTGCCATCCACTCCCACGACCTCGCTTACTACCAGCCTGACCACGGAGACCCCTACCACTGTCACCCCTTCACCCACAAGTACTACGGGTACGGTGAGCACGACTGGCATCACCTCCACCACACCCACTCTCACAACCTCGAGTACCGTCACAAGTACGGCTCCACCTACCTCTACTGCG